GAGGGGGAGGGGACGGGGCGGGGGGCACCGTTACTCACTCGCATACCGTGACACCTCGCAGGTGACGGTCCACTGTCTTTGCCGGAACACCTCACCACCATACACCACGGAAAAGTAAACAAACGAGAGCCAAATACACTATTTATCTTACGAGCAAACGAGTAATTTGATCCTGGATTATGCAACAATTCATATAACAACTAGCATATTAACTCTTATTTGCTTACTGTCCCGAAGCCAAGACGCGGAGACAGTCGACAGACATCTGAGAAGCATCACGCGGTCACTAAAATACTGTGCTGTTGATGTACTGATGAACTACAATAATGATACTATGGAAACAAAAAGTCGTGTCAACAAATATATTTTCAAATAAACTGCTTTACATTATAATCAAGATTTGTTTACTTCTAAATCTTACAGTACTTCGATCGTTTTAGTTGCAAAAGCCTGTGATATGATTTTATTGTTATTTTTATACCAGACTTTCTGTATGGGTCTAAGTTATGGACAAAGAAGCAGCGTATTAAAGCCCTTAATTAATGACGTTAGGTGATCGATTATATTCTAAATCCATGAAAAAAACACTCAAAATTAATTACTAATACATTATTCTGCGATTTTCAGCAGATGTACTGGTAATACTGGTAAAACTATAGACTTTATCTACAGAAGAAAATGTAGAAGGAAATATTTTTGTGGACATTTTCTTTATAAAATAATCAACAGAGCAGGATGGATTTAAAATACGTGAGTAAATGGAAAGAGACAGCACATTTAGCGAGCGATTGGTGCGTACAAGTGATTCCCACCGTAAACAAAAAAAAAACAAAAGAAAGCGTGCCAAAGAGGACTAAAGCAAGGAGGATTTATTTAATAGCAGTTTTATAGAACGTCATGATATTTTTTATGAAAATGGTGTTAAAAAATCATAACTACGAACTATTTTGGATGTAAAACACGACTTGTAGGAACAAAAAAGTGACTAGTTACGTTTAAATTAGGTCTATGACTTAAAACTAGAATGTGTTACCTTGTTAGCTCATTGTGTTAGTAAGAAGAAAGCGATATGGAGATATAATCAAAGATTGAAAAGTTAATCATGCGTTAAAAATGATGTTAGGAGCATAGCGTAAATAAATACATAAACTATTACATAAATATATAACTATAAATACTTTTAAGTTATAACATAGTATAACCTAGTCCTATATAAACGGTTATAGTCTAAAAACATTTCTAGCAAATGTAACATAGACAATAAAACATGATTTATGACCATACCAACAATTTCCTAGCAACATTTACTTGTATAGATGTTACCAACAATAATAATTCAACAAAGATGAAAACTAAATGACACATTATTGTAAACAGTTACTTTATGAGAAGTCTAAAATAGTCTAAACATACCTATTGTATCAACTTTAAACATATTCATGTACAAATGTTTAATAAACTCATGATATATTTATTATGTATCTATAATCTATAGAATGTTTCGTCAATTTGTTTTGACTAAAGAATCGAAAGATTTCTTGACAACTTAACTGTCCAAGGTGTCACGTACGAATCACGATGGACTTTTGCAATAAGTTCATGAGTCATGTGTGACTATTTTTAGTACAATTTTAGGGTGTAATTTTGATATGACCGTGGCACCAAATTCTAATAAAAACTACTACAAAATACCTGACCTTTAAAACAGTAATGGACTTCGAGTAATTGTAAATTTTATTGTATGGGGACAGTTAAGTTGTTAATGCTTTAACTTTAAAATTAGAGGCAAAACATTCTACAAGGTGAACTAAAATTCATTTTTAATATATGTTTTATGAATTACCTTTACAAAGTAAGATCTACAGATCTAATAACATGTTTTTTACAATGATTATCAGCTAGTAGCTCAACAAATTATTGTATACTTCCAATTTAACAATACTTCTACTTAACGATAATTTTCTAAGTACTTACATAGTAAATCGTAGGTATATATAAAACTGAGAAATACCTTTGGCTTTGTGGACCATACCTAGAACTTTACACCATTAGAATTACGCTATTATTCTTATACACATCCATTGTAAAATAAACTCTACCTACTTACAAATAACAACGTTTATTCATAAAATTGTGTAACAAACATTAGCATTAGGTATATCAATATAAAAAATACTCTTTATAAAAAATCTAACATCGGTTTCATGCGATTTTGTTCGTATTTACATTACTTTTAGATTCATTTTAGTTTAACTACTCTATAGTAAATATTGTGTTTTTAACAAGTACATAACTCTATTACCGTATATCCGTCCCAGTACAAAAATCTAGCACTATCACATTGCACATACCTACATACATTTAGCACATATAAAACCTTCTAGCTCGTAAACTTTTTAAAAAACCGCTATTGTTTCATCTATATTGTCTATAGCATCCTGGAGTTTGGAACACTATGACCAACGAGGTTTGTACTCTATGTCGGGACAGTCGGTCGTAGCCACACTATTTGGTACATTGTCTGTCTCTTTGTCTCTACGCACTTACTGTGAGCGACGCTCTTACAACCCAAGTATGCTCTCCTGAGCGCACTTGTCACTTTGCCCTGACAATCAGTCACAATCCGAACGTTTAATAATACATAACACCTATTTTGAAACAAATAATTGCTTGAAAATAGCATCCTTTCAATTGTAGTACACAAATGCCGCTATAAGTATCAATTGTACAGAATCAAATAGAAAAATATGTATGTAGAAGCCACTCAAATCGATTATAAAAAAAATCTGTATCGATTAACAGCATTTAAAACCAGTAAGAAAATTATAGAAGCTCAAAAGATTATTACAAAATGTGGGAATAATTTTAAATGAGTATCAATTAGGTTGTAAATGATAATCCTTAGTGACTAGAGATAGTAAAAGTCATGCTTATCACAAAATGGTCTCACCACGCTTATCCCAGGCCTTGCCTGCAATTATAACACGTGTTGACTAACGACCTATAAACCTATTCACATTATGGCAGTGGATATCCAACTTATAGTTAACTTACACCTAATTATTATATTAAGAATGTTTATATAAAATATACATAAAACAAAACAATATATACATAGATATATAATGCGTAATGGTGTGATGTCCACTTGTTGAATTTGTTTGAATAGTGTTATGCTGACCAATGTAATGATTTTATTTCGCAGAGAGATGAATTATTGATTGCCTACAATCCTTTATGATAGTTTTGGTATTTTACAACACTATTATTAGAGCTTTACTTTCACAATAACTATCGTGTGATATACTAAATTAACTAAAAATAACGGTTATCTTACGAAAATAAATTGAGAAAAGCTCTACTAGTTTCGAGTCACAAAGGGACTCTTCCTCAAGAGCAGCGTGCGCGGACGCGTCGTCGTTGCGTAGCCTACTCTACGTCACCGCGTCCGCGCGTCATTTTTAGTTAAGTCAAAGAACTATAATTATAAAAGTCGGAACCCAAAACCAAACTAAAACAACAAGTGAACATCACAAAACAGAACAGAGGCAGCATATCACCAGAAGGTGAAGAGAGTGAGTATGAGTGATGTGAAAGCGAGTATGTAGTGCAGGATGCGCGCGACAGTTACCTTCAGGGGCACCGGCGGCACTTCCAGGTGGTAGCCGATGTCACACAGGTTGCGGAGCAGCTCCAAGCCTGGAACATACGACAAAACATTCAATGTATTTACACTTATTTACTAACCTGTTTTATGACCCAAATGTAAATAATATAGTCAATCATCGATGCTGTTGGAGCTTCTAGGTTTTACTAGTTAATTCTCAGGTCTGACTTGAAATAGTCAAAGCTCAAACAAATGAAGTTTTTCAACCTCTGATTAAAGAATTATGATCAAACCTTGGCGAAACTAATTTGGTTAGGTCAGTTGACAAACAAAATTTATTGAGGTTTGTCAAATGACAAACCTCAATAAATTAAATCAATCATATTCAATGTCAAAATCAAGTCAAATAAAACATAATTGTATCATCATCACTCTCGGTGGAGCGACAAAATGTACTTTACAGTTATCACAAAAATATAGCAATGTCAGCACTCACCCGGTTCCCTATTCCGACCGTATCTAGTCTCCCAGGCGTCAAACAGTCGGTTGTAATACCTGGGTCCGGCCAGGAATCCCAAGTACTTGTGTGTCTCGTACGTTGGGAATATTCTCTCCATGTCACCTGACTGAGTTAACTCGTCTTCCGATTGGATGAGGTGACGCACGTCGTCCGGTGTCAATGTTGATAGTATGTCCCGTAGATACTGGAATTGTTTCGTAGAATTTTTAGTTTGATAACAAAATGCTGGGCACGTAAAGTGAGACAGTTGTGTTAAGTAAGAGTTTATCTTAATGTAATTGTAAGGTTTAATTTTCAAACTACAATCATCATCATATCAGCCATATGACGTCCATTGCCGAATATAGGCCCCCTATGACATCCCGATAGGCCGGTTGGAAGCGACCTGCATCCAACGGCTCCCTACTCAGCGCGCTATGGAAAGGGCTATGCTCAGAGTTTCTTAGCTAGATCCAATAAAGATTGAAGAAATCCGCAAACGAACATAGGTCGCCGACATAGCCCAGCGGATTAGCAAACTACAGTATCGGGTGTTAAATATTGTACGTCAAAGATTGAAAAGACACCCGGCCAAATCGACACGTAGATGGCTTTTGATTAAGAACAGCTAAAGCTAATCGATCACTCTCCTCGAGTCATAAATAGATTGAAAGTAAAACCACACAAAAGATTACTCTTTCCAAAAGTCGACGTGCGATTTATCGTCGAGTAAAATGTAATTTGAAATAGATAAAAATGTCTCACCATATCCCGATCCTCCATATTAGTGTATATTATATGCTTATCTCGTTCTTCTTTAGACAGGTACACTGTATACAACCGGCTGTCGTATGGCAAGCCCGACTGAAACGAACGAGGAACACAAATATTAAAATATTCTTTATACACATTGACATATTCGTCACTACATCTGTGGACTTGCGATGTCACTTGATCTAAGGTGAAAAGTATTTTAAAATTTGGATAATTTACGACATAATTGCCATAGATGTTAAAAGTTAATTATTGTTTCTGGAATGGTATAAACTCGTCAATAAAAAACTAAATTATTATCGTCAAAACGGGCGTTTTTTTTTCTCTACAAAGGGACGAAATATAAAATTTCAGTAACTGTATTCATAAAAATAAGGAATTATTTTATTTCACAGTAATATCGTCGCAAGCATACCGCGTGACATCGCATGTCCATACAATAAGTTACGCAGGCTATCATAATGCCGGCGCCAGACATGTGCGCCCTTGTTTATTCACATAAGTGTTCACATCGTGTGGCACGGTCAATTTATCACGCAATGTCCGTGTTACACAATGTGCGCTCATAAGTAAACAAACAAGTGCGCACATAAGTAAACAAACAAGTGCGCACATGTCTGGTACCGGCATAATAATATCACAGTAAAATCACCAGTTGTTTAGGATTCTGCTTGGGAACCGTGTCCATATTGGTGTGGCCTGGCACCTGGAACTGTGAGCTACGTTGAACGACGTACCTAGCTTGAATTCTATCTACATTTTTCTGTACTTGATAAGCCAGTGTTTGGCAACTACTTCGCCCGGCGGTAAGCGCTGATATGGCCGACGATGGAGTCCGCCTACCTATAAGCAACCTATTCCCTCGAGACTTGAAGACATTTACGCTGTACCTTTCAGGCAACACTCTGGCAAGGAATTCCACTCCTTGATTAACTTGCTGTTGCTACTATACAAACTTAAGTAGAAATTAAGTTTACGTATAGCTTGATAGATATCAAGTTTCTAGACCTAACAACTTAAATAATACGAAATTCTTAAGAATTCGAGGACTAATATGTTGTAAAATTTCTGGGCATATCAAGCGATTTCAGGCATTATTTATGTCTTAAAACTGTTGCGGACTCAAAGCCAAATCAGACATGCTGAATATTTTATGCACTGTGACAGAACAACTGTATTAACATTAACATTCAGTTGTATGTTTCAGGAAAAATACTTTTAACTTAATGAACAATGAATAAACATCCCAAATTTGTGTCAATTTAAAGGTAGTACTCAGTTGTTTAGCCACAGTATAGGAGATATGTAAAAATCACCAGTTTGTGTGGTTTATCCTTGGAGAGCATCTCCAGGTTGGTCTTTACAGGAACTTGGAACTGCGCTATGTTGAGGACGGTGGTGACCAGCGGACCCTTCACGTGGATGTCCAAGGGAGATGCGCTGTGCAAGCTCGGAGATATGTTCACCTGGAATGGTACGGCAAAAATTTTAAAGAAGGAGAGCCTTGCTACTTGTCAGTGTGATACCACGACTTTACAGAAAACCGGCGTGAAACAAGGCGTGAATTGTTTCACCGTGTGTTTACGGCTCGACCGGAGTGATACCACGGCCTCACAGAAAACCAACGTGAAGCAACGCTTGCGTTTGTTTCGTCGTGTAGGTGAGGTTACCGGAGGCCCAATTACCCTCCCCTTCCCCAATCTCCCCAATCCCTGATTCCTCAACGATCCTTTAACTCCTAATCCCCAAAAGGCCGGTAACGCACTTGTAACGCCTCTGATGTTCCAGGTGTCCATGGGCGACGCCGATTGCTTACCATCAGTCAGATCCGTCTGCTCGTTTACCGGCTTATGCCATAAAAAAAGCCCAATCCTCATGATCTCCATCCCCCAAATCTCCAATGCCTCCTGCGTTGTGGATGTCCGAAGGAGACGCCGATTGCCTACCATTAGACACTTCGTCTGCTTGTTTGTTGTATGGCTTAAAAAAGCAATTAATAACTGTACCTCCAATAACCAAGGTTTAAGATCTTCGTCCAGCAGTACGTCAATTCCAAAGAGTTCATAGCAATTGTACCTCGACGTGATATTGGCTTTGGTCAGTGAACTAATGCTTGCTTCTCCAGATATTATTGTTTTTATTACAAGATCCTTCATGGCATTCCATAAGCTTTCAGTATCTACACGTTTCTCAGCTTTCAAGTATTGTAGTAGCGTTTGTAGTGTCCTGAAAAACATTTTTATAAAAATTAGAAAACAATATTTCGAAATTCTATGTCTAACATAGAAGTTTCTAGTTTATTAGTACGTCATGTTTCAGTATTAAGCCGTAAAAAGTGATGCCGTTGTCCCCTCTCTACAGGGCCGGCAACAAACTTATGTTGCGGAAGTCCTCCCATGGCCGGCGCTGATTGCTTACCATCAAGAGAAATGCCTCCTCGTTTGCCCACCAGCTGTTAAAAAATGTCTGTAATTTAAAAGTGTAATACTAACCATTTATGTCCCTCACAGGCCGCAAAGTCCTCATTCGGCGTGTAGTTCTTGGACAATCTATTGATAGAGTAATTCGTCAGATGCATATACCTATCGTTCAACGATGCCAGCTCGTCGTTATACTTTACTGTAATCAAAGAAATGTGTAAATTACAACAAAGTAGGTATTTACTCTCTTGCTAAAGCAATACACGAATGTCACTTACGGCACTTAAAATCTGTGGAGAAGGCACGATCGATTTTGACAGAAATTCCATAAAATTAATGTCAAAAATCGATTCATATCTACAGATTTTGGATTAAGAGGAGATTAGTTCCGGCCGTTAGTTAACTTATTTATTCTTTATTGTACACCTTACAAAAATACGAGATAACAAAATTGGGCGGCCTTATCACGATAGATGACTTTTTTTCGACACCATGAGAGATTCATAGTTTATCCATGGTTTATCCATACACAAATGTATTTAACTCCGACGTTACCAAATATTTAGTTTCAGATAACATTAAATATTATAGTAGATAACTACAAAACGTAAACATACCTGAAGCAAATCTAGCCAGTCCATCCTTATACAGATATATCCGAAGAGGGTGTACTGACGTCACGAGGACATACAGCCGAAGGTCAAACTTGTTGCCGTTTATAAGGTAGGGCTTTGACACGTATCGCTGAACCACTACAGGGCGCTTCTTGGGGATCTGCGTCCATTTGGATACTACTTTGATGCCAGTACCGCGGGCTGAAGCCGGCTGGAATTGAGAAAGCTTTTTATATATTTTGTAAAAAACAACACCCTGAGGTAAAATTGACATTATCAAATTGCGCGCTAAAGTAAAGCAGAAAGTAATATTTTAATCCTTTCGTTTTATACATATTTTATTTGAAACTCTATGCCTATGTAAATTAGCAAATAACTGATTGTCTGTTAATTAAAATATCACAACATTAACACACTAAAATACAGACAATAGATAATAATATCAACAACACGTATTGAATAATGAAACGAAATGTCCTTGAAATTCAAGAAGTACTTCATTCAAATAAAATCAATGTATATTTATGTATTTTATGCACCCCGTTTTTATTTTGTCTAGACGTTGGTAAAAATGGGGCGTTTACGTTACTGTCGTAAATATTGACGTAAGTACTCATAAATATTATACTTTTAGATTGATCAATGTCAATGCCGACTGCGAACATGGAAGTATAAGATACATTATTTTACTTCGCACTACACTACATTAGCTACACAATAGTAGGCATAATTCCTTTGAATATAACATTAGAATGCAATCACTAAACACTACACTACTGCCGCCGAACCACATAGCTCCAAATTGTGAGCTCCGGTGTGGCTCGAAACCAGACGACCATCTTTCGAACTTTTCGATTAATTTCTTCGAAATCTAAACTTTTTGGTTTAATTCGAAACTGCAAAGCGTAAGCATCAAATTCACATACGTAAATTACATACCGGTTTAATGATCCATCGTTCGTTGTTAGCAGCATATTTCTCCCAATCGTGCTTCAACAGCTTCATATCATGAGGCAGCACATAAGTCTTCGGCATTATACCAAACTCACTGATCCCATACTTGCAGACCAGTTTCTGTAAGTTCCTCCACAACCGATCTTTGCGACCGATTTGAAAGGTGCCAGGGAAATGATTCATCTTCTGTCCATCTTTGATAGCTCTGAACATTATCGACTTCATGTGCTTGCCCCAAATACCAATCCATTCTATTGTCTCTGTAATAATATCATCTATTTTAGAAATTTAGACGAATCGTCCGCTCTGCTAATTTCGATTATATTGAAAAAAAATTTTTTATTACATCTAAGTAAGCTGATCAAGTGATTACAATAAATTGGTGTAGCAAGATTGACAATATAGTTTATGGTGCTTTTATATTTCGAAATTCTTAGTAATATCGTATGTAAACCAAACATATGCAGGTCATGTGCCCATGAAACTTGAAAGATTCATTACTCGCATTATTTATGTTTTAGAGGTTACTAAACCAACTACTGTTAAAACTAGTAAGTAGTGTTAATACTAATTATTACTGCTAATACTAGTGAATAGAATAATTAGAAGATAAAATAATACACATCCCTTAACCTCTCGCGTACACACGGGTGTACGAGAGAGTTGAGTGCCCATCGCGCAATTCTACACACGGGTGTACCAGAAACGCGCACCGATTGGATATTTTTTCTGTGACGTATATTTTCAAGTTTGCAACCCGTTCTTTATTTTATTAAACAGAATAGTTCATTCGCTTTTCTATTAAAATATTTACCCGTGTGTACGAGAACACGCGTTTAGCCGTGTGTAGGAGAGGCGCGCGAGAGGTTAAGTCAAAACTGATAATAATAAAAAGTATAACATTACCTTCTTGCGGGCACTCTGCAGTATCACATTCGCTCTTTACCAACCGAAAACCAGAATTTGTTAACGTCTTCTTGACAACTATCGGCGTGATCGTAGTCAGCTTCCATTTCAGATGTTTTTGTATCGGCAGAGGTACCTTGAGGCAGGGGCTCTCTTCGTGACCTATGAATTTGAGGTAGGGTGGCACGCGAGGGAACAGGGAGGGCCGAAGACAATTCGCCACTGACTCCGGTAAGAATACTGGTGATTCTGAAATTGAAAATTGTTCATTGAAATCAGAAAACCAATTGGTGTTAGAATAGCTTATTAAGTATGGAAAAATTGCGGTAACTTCTACACAAAATACTAATGTAATATAAATGGATTTTAAATAATAATTATAAGAGAACATTGAGTTAAATAACCAATAAAAAATGTTAGTCTATATGCCATAAATATCTTACAAGATAACATGATCAATATAATACACTATTCTAATGGCGATAAGGTCAAAAATGCACCATAAAATAATAAGATGAAGGAAAGCATTCTGCGTGTTACACATTAAACAAAGAAAGGTAGACAATAACAGATCTAATGACGATTGAAAAGAATTGAATAAGAGCCAAAGATAATGACAAAAAACATCCGCATACAACTAAATCTACGCGACACAAAAATGAATATAACGTGTCATTACGAACAACAGACATAATACAGGTACAAAACGCAACATAGACATTAAATAAAAAAGTAAGTAAAACTCGAGTTAAAGTTACTTTACTCTAATTGAAATTATTACTGAATAGCGTGTAATGTTGGGAAGCTATTGAACTAGTGGCGCTATGTAAGTGGGGGGGGAATTATCTTGCCTTTGCGTGACGGCATTGATTTGAACGGATTTGTTGTGTGCAAAGCTGTCAGAAACATTTGATCCTTTGATACTTTGTCTGCAAACAACGAAATGAATTGTTATGACTTGAATACAAGTAGTAAAATTGTTTTACAAATTGATTGTTTTCAGTTGTTCATTGTGAAGCTTGTTGGATTGATTTTGTAAATCGTAAACCGTAGCGGTGTGGCACGGTATGAATGAGAACTTTAGGTTTTAAAGATTTGTTTGCCTATGTGAAACTCTTTACTTTTATTAGGACTAAGAATCGAAAGATGTTTTATGTTCTATTTTATGTATTGTAAATAATGACTCAACTTTAAACAATTTATAACTTGCAGGAGACATACTAAATATATACGCTTTTTGTAAGGGGGGGGAAATCATCAAATTACTCCTCCCGCCCGGGTAATGCGGGAGGGAGCGTCAGGCTCTTCCTGACTAAAAACCACCCCGTTCCTACACCTGCACTTCGAGCCGGAGCCCCGATAACTCGTTAGGTTCTCCGCGGCTCCGTATCGGCATCAGCCCTATGGGGCCCCATCCGTAGTGGTCTGATGGCTCTTTGAGGTGCGCGCGGAACGCGACGCGTCGTACGCTCGGGTCTGGTTCCGGTCGGGCGGCGAGCCACCCATGCTCGCCGTCCGCAGGCCCGCGCTTACGGTAGCTGGAGAAGCCTAATAACGCTAGGAGCTCATATTCATGCATAGCGTGGCTTGAAAGTAATCTAGTTCCTCATCAAACAGTTACGTCACAAATGTCCAAATACTCAAACGCCACTCAAAGAGACGCGCGTACCTATAGTTCTGTCACTACAAATCTATACATATAATAAAATCGTAGAAAAGTGTAAACTGTAATTTGCATATTTTTTTGAAAAGAATGCTTGGGGCGTGATCTATAAGCGATACCGAAGCTAAAAATATGGTTTTTAGAATTTTTGTCTGTTTGTTTGTCTGTATGTATGTCCGGGCTAAACTCACAAAGTACTACATAGATTTACTTCAAATTTTGCATGAATATGACTAACAGGTCGGGTCAACATATAGGCTACATATTATCACGCTATCACCTACGGGGAGGAGCTGTGAATCACTATTACACGCGAACGAAGTCGTGGGCACAGCTAGTTCTTAGTAAAATGACAGAAATGGCACTATATTTAAGCACAACTTGAAATTGAGTAGCCTATCAGTATTCGGACGTAAGCCGATAAATATAATAGTAAAGTTTGCTGTTTAACACCTTTCGCATTTACATCAAAGGAGTTTCAATCATCAAACACAACAAAATTGATCACAACGGACCACAAACAAAAACACGAATCACAAACTCTATGAACCTAAATTCATGGCGATAGAACACCATAGTTCGCGTGTCTGAAACTGAAATAAACACCGTACCATGCGTAACTAGCTAACAATAAATTACCCCTCACATTTATGCCGTTACTTATTCAACTTACATAATTTAGCCGAGCCTAACTTACTTCTTGTACTATCATTAGTATAATCTATAACCTAATTGTATTTCATGAATATTTACTTAAGTACAGGACATTGACAAAATGCTAATTAAATTGAATTACGCCGTTTTAACCACAATTCTACGGTAGAAATTAATTATTTCTTGTATTGTTATATTACTACATACGCATAGTTTCTCTATTGTATTATTATCTTCTAAATAGAACTGGACTCCTCAACTTTGCGAAACTTTGCTGTTGAGACAACTACTAACTCGCTTAGAAACTGTCAGGTAACTTTAGACCAACTACAAATCTAACTTTAAAGTGTAGACTACTATTAATTGTATCTGTCTGCTCCGATCTAAGCTCTAAGTAGGTCCTAGTACTATTTCTAAACAAAGCAGAGTTTGTGATTCTAGTTAAACCAACTGAATCAATTTAAGTCACAGCGAAGTGACCTCACAAAACCTAACAGACGATATCTTATACTATTATATAAAGCGGAAGAGTTTGTTTTTTTATTGTTTGTTTGAACGCGCTAATCTCCATAACTACTAGTCTGATTTGAATAATCCTTTTTGTGTTGGATGGCGCATTTATCGAGGATGGCTATAGGCTATAAAACATCACGCTACGACCAATAGGAGCTGAGCAGAGCGTGTGAAACCGCGCGGAAGTAACTAGTATTAGATATGCATAAAGATTTGTTTGAATTATACGATAAGTAACCGAAAACGTCTGTTTGTCAATCGAGTAGCAAGACATGGGGAGTCTTTGTATAGCCTGGGTGCACCAAATACCCTGAACTGTTTTCTTGTGTGCCACAACAATTAAAAAGATCTTGTACGCGATCGGCCCTTCCCTACACCTAGTGTTCTGGCACCCGCGCTAAAGGTGCAGATGTAGTTTAGAAATATCCTTAGAAAAATTAGTAGTAGCAATTATATCTTTTACCTTTTGAGTGTGCTTTCTTCGGAGTAACAACAGTTCCATTGAGCTTGCTAGATAGTTTGGTGACTAGCGTGAGATTCTCCTCGTCTTTTTTTGCTGTTGAAGGCAAAGCCGGTTCTTCCATGATCTCCAGCTCCGCTAAAGCCGCGTCAGTGTCCATCTGCCAGTGGTCCATTAACGGATCTGGTGATGGGGACCTGCTGAGCGCACTGGAAACAAAGTTTAATTTTGTTAATTAATATGCTGTTGTTGTGAAATTTTTTTCTTGTTACTTTTTATTCGTTCTTTTATGAATAAAATGCTCAATCTTCGAAGGTCAAGAGGCCTGTCCAATTTACAAATTAGTTTGACGAATAATTTTTAAATTGTCACTTTGAACTTTATCACATATTTATTTCAGTTTGTTCTTACGGTGAAAATATTGCATAGTCGAAACGGTTAAATTAACATCAGAACTATAAAAGCTGCAATAAACTTTCATAACAAAAAAAGGTTAAATTGGCATTTTGTTGGAAAACGAATAAAAGTAATTTTCCCAGGCTGTTAACCCAAAGGATGTCGCAGACCGCATTGCGGGAACCAGGTTACCAAAATACGTTGCAAATAGCGGTAAAGAATCACTTACATTTAGACATCATAATTTAATATGGGCAGTAAGTACGCTATGAACTATTTAATTCATAGTTAAAACCTAGGAAAAGCCATGATACGTTAGATAGATGCTTTTTCTATATAAATTTTTCGTTTACAATTCAGGGTCAACAAATTCGATTTGAAAATCAGAATTCCAAGTTACCCTTGTTATTTTATCCAAAACCTATGTAAGAGTGGGAGTTTTATTACGAATCCAGGATATAAAATGCATCTTCTTTGTTATTACAATTTGTATAACAGCTGGCGTACGTAGATACAGTTTTACAAAACATGGGATTACCTAAACATCGTGTGGACGTCATACGTGATTTATCGCATTCGACGAATCGTTTGTTTATTTGCTATATTTCATTGCTTCATTGGCGCAAAAACGATTCCAATAAAACGCTAGAGAGCTCAGAGATGTCTGTTTGACGTATAAAATATTATCAACAAATTGAAAAATTTCAAACAATTCTGTCTCTCTTTTGGAAAAAATCGACTACAACGTTTTTGTTTTTCCCCTGCCCCGGTTAGTTAGAAACAAAATATACAAATGTTCTTATGTCACACAAAATTATTGAAAAGCTTGGCACACATACGGAAACAGGACCATCCTTGATATAAAAAAAAACTTATCTATCTAAAGTACTACTTTACATAACATTATCCGTAGAAACACGTGCCGTTTTTGCGCGCAATATAATTTTAAATAGCACGTTTGAGTACGCCACGTGGTCGGTGGTAGCTACCGGGCCCCCCATTGGCTACATTTGTATATAATTGCTTTGTATTAAAGTTTTTTTTACAGTGTAGATGGTTGACCTACTTTATTTAAAGAGAGGTAGGGCACAGTGGGTTTACCCCACTCAATTTGGAGCAGCCCGACTGGGGAAGGACCTCCACCTTACAGAAGACCGCAGCCAAATAACACTGTTGTGGCAGTGTTGTGTTCCTGCGGTAAGTAAGGTATCCAGTTCTCCAGGGGATTTTTTGTGTTGATAGCGGGGGACCGGTGAAGCAAATGATGCGGTCGCATGTTAGTGCAGGCGCGGTGTGTGGACGCAGCGGTCAGTGAGACCCAGTGAAACGGTTCGTCGCTGGCCGCCCGCGGGTCAGTAGAGTTCCCGAACCCAGGGATCACATTATCTCCGCCCTGGGAGGCTGAACTGCCAACCCGTGAAAAATCCCTATTGTAGTCGTCGTGCCGGAGAAGGAGACCGGAGTGGACCCGGCTTCTGCAGTGGGGGGGGACTGGGGGCCCTCTCGTACGCTGCGTCGATAAACTGCACCCCTGTGCTGGCCTGTGGCAGGTCGGCATTACAATTTTGTCTCCTAGACTATCAACACAATAAATCCTCATCAAACCTATTCAAACCCCTCCATAAAAAATAAAATGAAGAAGACGAAAACCAAAAAAACACGATTTACAGCGGCACCTCTATCCACCCAAGTGGACTATTGCAACATTAGGGGACTTCATGGAAATCTTAACGCAGTCCACCAACACCTTGAGACTGCGAAGCCGACCCTACTCTTTCTCACGGAGACGCAGATATCCTGCCCGGCCGATATATCGTACCTCAATTATCCTGGCTACAAACTCGAACATAATTTTCTGAGACGTGCCGGTGTATGTCTGTACGTTCGGGAGGATGTCTGTTGTCGGCGTCTTCGCCATGTTGAAGACAGGGACCTGTCGATATTGTGGGTGCGCGTAGACTATGGCGGCCACACCCGTATATACGCGTGCCTATACAGGTCTTATAGCGGTGACAGGGAAACAACACGACTTTTCGAGCACTTGCAATTGACGACTGATAGAATTATTGAGCAATACCCTTTTGCGGAGTTAGTGATCTTAGGAGACTTCAACGCCCACCACACCGAATGGCTTAGTTCTCGGTCCACTGACTGCGCTGGGAGGTGTGCTCACGAATTCGCTCTGGCCTATGGTTTTTCACAGCTGGTACATTCTCCAACAAGAATACCGGACATTGAGAACCATACGAGTTCCATATTGGACCTTCTGCTGACCCAACGTCCGGATGGATATTCCATATCAGTGGATGCACCACTCGGATCTTCTGACCACTGTCTTATCCGGACTCTAGCACCATGCGCACGACAGAATCCACCTCGACCAACTAACTTGCGGCGCATGTGGCAGTATAAGTCAGCAGACTGGGATGGATTGCGGGAGTATTACGCATCGTACCCGTGGAGACAGCTTTGTTTCGCATCAGAGGATTCCGACACCTGCGCAGCTGCTGTCTCTGAGGCTATACTGGCGGGTATGGAAAACTTTATTCCAAACTCGCTGGTCGCTGCAGGGACGAAGAAGCGACCGTGGTTTAATAGGTCCTGTAAAATTGCTAGACAACTCAAGCAAGTCGCGTACAGGGCTTGGACCACGGCTCGTAACAATCGCGATCCCGATCTTTCTGATGTGAAACGCGAACTTAATGCTGCCTCAAGGTCCACGAAAAGAAAAATTGCCAGAGCAAAATTCGATTTCATCGGCAGAATTGGCAAGAAGCTAACAGGCTATCCCTCTGGGAGTCGTGCTTTCTGGTCACTTGCCAAAGCTGCCGAGGGTAACTTCTGTCAGTCGTCCTTACCGCCACTGCAAAATACCGATGGCAACCTGGCCCACAGTGCAAAGGAGAAAGCCGATCTGTTAGGCACTCTTTTTGCCTCTAACTCGACTTTGAACGTCGATGAAAGCACCATACCACCTACCATCCCGCATTGCGGCCACTTTATGGCGGAGGTTCGCTTCTCACAAAGAGACATTCGGCGGGAGTTGCTAAGTCTTGATGTTCATAAGTCGAGCGGGCCCGACGGCATACCGGCAGTGGTTCTAAAGCAGTGTGCTCCTGAATTGTGCCCTGTTCTAGCGCGTCTTTTCGCTTTTTCTTACCACACTAGGCAAGTACCGTCTTCGTGGAAGACCGCCTACGTGCATCCGGTGCCCAAAAAGGGCGATAGAACAGACCCGACGAATTACAGGCCTATCGCTATTACCTCCCTTCTTTCCAAGGTGATGGAGCGAGTAATCAACACCAAGCTCCTTCGATACCTAGAGGAGCACGACCTGCTCAGCGACCGTCAATACGGTTTTCGCCACAGTCGCTCGACTGGTGATCTTCTAGTGTATCTCACACATCGCTGGGCCTCGGCCATTGAAAGTCAAGGTGAGGCATTGGCAGTTAGCCTAGATATAGCGAAGGCGTTCGATAGGGTCTGGCACCGGAGTCTTCTGACGAAGTTGCCATCATACGGACTGCCCGAGGGATTGTGCAAATGGATTGGTAGCTTTTTGTCCGGCCGACGCATAAGAGCCGTCGTAGACGGTAGTTGCTCTGAAAGCATGGACATAAACGCTGGCGTCCCACAAGGCTCCGTACTTTCCCCGACGCTGTTTCTTCTGCATATCAATGATTTGCTGTCTGTTGAGGGTATTCATTGTTATGCTGATGATAGCACCGGGGACGCATTTTACACGGGCCGTGCAAACATCCCTCGTTCCGTTGTGGAAGAAAGCCGCGTAAAACTTGTGTCTCAAATCGAGAGTACCTTATGCCGAGTCTCCGATTGGGGTCGGGACCATATGGTCCGGTTCAACCCCTCCAAGACACAAGTTTGTGCGTTTACCGCTAAAAAAACCCCATTCGTTGTGGCCCCTAAATTCCAAGACACTACCCTTAACATCTCCAAAAGTATAGGTATCCTTGGTGTCGACATATCTAGTGACGTCCAGTTCCGTAGTCACTTAGAAGATAAGGCCAAGCTGGCATCTAAAAAACTCGGTGTACTGAACAGAGCGAAGCGGTACTTCACGCCGGGACAAAGACTGCTTTTATATAAATCGCAAGTTCGCCCCCATATGGAGTACTGCTCTCATCTCTGGGCAGGAGCGCCAGCATACCAGCTTGGACCTTTTGACGCGGTCCAAAGGAGAGCTGTCAGACTTGTTGACGATCCTATACTTACGAGCGGTATCGAGCACTTAAGTCTAAGGAGAGATTTTGCCTCCTTGTGCGTGTTCTACCGCTTGTATAATGGGTTATGTTCTGCAGAATTATTTGATATGATGCCCACGGCCACTTTTTATCATCGCACCGCTCGCCATCGGC